CAATGCCCCTTTATAGTTAGCAAATTGTCTGTATTCCAGGTGTAAGAGGAGGGCAAATTGGAATCAAATGCTCATGTGTGAGCAGTATACTGTCAATCTCTTACCTAATGGTACAGACTTGTACTAAAAAGAGTTCTCAAACTTTATTTGTAATGTTTCCTTTTGACATACAGAAATTGTGCTTGTGTTGTTCACTGAGTGTATTTTAAAATTGGGAATCCTGAGGTTTGGTACCAAAAGTAGCTAAGTTAGTATAGATGTGCTTAACCTAATTACTGTATTGTAGATATATATATATTGACCTACCTCCAGCATCATTTAAAGGATATAACAAAACTACAATTAGTGCTGTTTAAGTTAATCTTGCCTTTAAAGTTACAAAAGCATTGCTGTTTTGTTATTTTATTGATCAACTTTCATGCCTTTGAAAATACAAATTCCAGAATGACATCATGCCCAGTAGGAGTAATTAAAGCTATCTGATGAGGGAATTTAGAAGTTGAAAGGGATGATTGTAATTGATCCTGATTCAATCCTATTACAGCTTTTTATAGTTTAAGCTCTAGAGAAAGCAAACTCCTTGTCAAGGCTTTATTTTACGGATTCCTTTGTGTGTGCTATGCTTGCTGGTCTCTACTTTCCCTTTTAATTTTTTTTTCCTGTAGTAAATAATGAGCTGCCGCCTGAAATCCGGCTTGCCAGTGGTCAGCTAATGGGTGATGACCTGTCCCTCCTTACTGCAGGAGAGCTGTCACCTTATATCAGTGACCCAGCGCTGAAGCTATTCCAGTGTGCTGTTTGCAACAAATTCACCTCTGACAGCCTGGAGGCCCTAAGCGTGCATGTGAGCAGTGAGCGCTCGCTCCCCGAAGAGGAGTGGAGGGCTGTAATTGGAGACATCTACCAGTGCAAGCTCTGTAACTACAACACTCAGCTCAAAGCGAACTTCCAGCTCCACTGCAAGACTGACAAACATATGCAGAAATATCAACTGGTGGCTCACATTAAAGAAGGCGGCAAAACTAATGAGTGGAGGCTGAAGTGTATTGCCATTGGCAACCCAGTTCACCTAAAATGTAACGCCTGTGACTATTACACCAACAGCGTGGATAAATTGCGCTTACATACTACCAATCACAGGCACGAGGCAGCCCTGAAACTGTACAAGGTAAGCCAGTGACAGCAACTTCAGTTGGCACCAAGTAGGCCAGGAAATTAACTGTTTCAGTGCTCATCAAGCAAGATTTTGAGTAATCAGCAGAATAAATGTTTATTGAACATGCAGATAATCGACCAAAAAGTATGCAGGTTAGTCAGGGAGGAGTGCTCCCGATGAGTCCTGTTGATTCATCTGAGGGCTGGTTTAGGATGCATTTGCTGCAAACACAGACGCCAAATATTTTTGAAAAAAGTCCTCAGTGACTAGCTGTTTGGATTTTTTTTAGATGCCTATGGTTTTACATCTCTAACAACCTTTTCAGACTTTGTCCATTACGTTTTGATCAGAACCTTGACGGAGATTATGGAAAATGATGATTTTTCCATACTGTGCTTAGGGAGAAAGAGATCCTGGCGTATGTATCTGTTTGCAAACATAGTTTATCACAGCCAAGTTATTTCGCATTGGTATTTTCAGTAAGCACATGCAACATGCCACATTATTACCAAGGATATTCAAAAGTAAGCACTGTCATCCTTTTGTCTGCCCTTCTTTTCCAAGCCAGTAATGATTTTTCACAAATATGAAAGGGTGTGGTGTAGATAAATATGTTAGTAGAAAGGCTGTTTGCAAACATAGTTTATCACAGCCAAGTTATTTCGCATTGGTATTTTCAGTAAGCACATGCAACATGCCACATTATTACCAAGGATATTCAAAAGTAAGCACTGTCATCCTTTTGTCTGCCCTTCTTTTCCAAGCCAGTAATGATTTTTCACAAATATGAAAGGGTGTGGTGTAGATAAATATGTTAGTAGAAAGGCAACTGTATTTTTATCTTTACTGGAAAAAACTATGTGGATATAATGAATATGTGGGAGTGATGAATACCATTTATTACACAACTTGTCATGACTTTTTCCAAACCCTAATTAGGGGGTAACTTATTTTCTGCAGTGTGTTTACTGGATTGGCTTGATTGTCTTGGTTCATGTACAAAATATAACACATTCATTTCCAAGATGAATAACTTTGTAACTTATTAAAAACTTCTTTTGTCTAGGGGATATAAAAATTCAGGAAATATTGCAAGCCATTAGTCACTGTAACAAGCTCTAAATATGATTAGAAAATCCATTTTGCAAGTGTTATCTATTGATTTATACTAGAAATCTGTGATAACTAAACTATCAGAGTCATCTGCTGAGTACAGCAACTATGCTAGATTTCTAATCATTTTGAAAATGTCTACGCACGGAACAGATACAGTAAAGTCTCAGCAGCCCTCTAGTTTAAGCAAGAAATAACATTTTTCTGGTGTTCAACCACATTCAAATGGTTGGTCTGAGCTAACACAGGCTGCACACATGGATTTTCATTTTATAACCTGATAGTTGTAACCTTGGTGGATCTACTGTGAATGAAAATGGCAGTAACACAAGATTTGGTCTATTAAAATGTCCCACAGTGCTGGCTGCTCTGCTAATTTAATAATATATTTTATTTAAATTGCATTTTTTCTTAACTCTAGAGGAGTGTTATTTTTTGTGCTTCTTGGTTGGTTTGAGGGGTTTTTTAAGATCCAAAGTCCTGTTATGAATGTGCAAAACGAGCTGAGAGTCTAGTGATACAGTTAGCCTGCTTCAGCAGCAAAATGTCCTTTAGAAGTTCTTGCTCACTGTCATCTGCGAAACCATTCCTGGTTCTCTCCAGTTATGCCGATTGTGCAGCCACACTCAGGTTTTTTAAATGATCCAAGTTAAATATTGTTGGTCTCCATCTCTTTGTTTGAGTGTTAGCCTGGATTATTTCAATGATTTGTTTTATAATGCCACCATTCAGAGCGATGTTACTGCAAATGGTGTCACAGATAGGAATGGCAGAATAGGAGTTGGGAAGGCAAAAGGCTTTCTCAGATGGCTTCACTGCCAAAGCTTTGAAGACGGTTGAAAATAAGGTGGAAGCTGCCTATTTTTTAAAAGAAATGAAAGGCATAGCTATGAATTTACAAGGTACTCAAAACAGTACTGTCTCTTCACTCATTAAAGCTAAGCTCTAGAGAAATCTTCATCAAGTGCATTTGAGTTTGCAGCATGTCCTACAAAATATTTGATGTAGCAGGAGGAGGGACGTAGGGAGCAAATACCAGCATTTAGCACTCATCACTAAAAATGTTCTGCTGCTGAATCTGCTTCTTCGCCAGATCCTTGTTTGTTGGATGGAGCAATTCAGTAGCTCATATGTGGTGCAGCTATCATACATGACAAATGACCATGGCTAGTTGTGGAGTTCAGTCTCTGAATCAGTTAAAGACATGACAGTGGAGAAGGAATCCATAAACTCTCATACACCTTTTAAACTTCCTCGCCTGCAGAAGGACAGTTGAAAATGTCCAGCTGGTAACCATAGGGTTGCAAATCTCCTGAAGCATGTATTTTTAAAGACTTGTCCCTAGGATTGCTAGTGAGAATCTCGGGTTTTTAAAACATCTGTCCCTCATGACTTCTTAGAGAAGCTTGGAAATTTGAACCCCACCAGGCTTAATGCCTCTCAGACAGCAGATAGCATATGCATGTGCACACACTATTTTTATATAATTTCATTTTAAGGCTAACTTGAAGAAGAGGAATGTCTTCTTTAAAATATCAGTTAGGGTGTTAGTATTATTTTGTAAGATTTGGGGTTGGCAGTGCAGTGCTACAATGTGTCACAAAATGACCAAAATGTTCTAGATGTGTGTGCTTTGTAACAGAATGTAATCCTTGTATACATCACCCAGAAAACTTTACTTTTAATTGTGGGTGTACATTCAGGCCTCAAGCTAAAAATAAATGAGATTTTGAAAGTCTGTTAAGTTGTCTGCTAGCAGACTTGATAGTTTTGTCAGGTCTTGGTGAAGCTGTTGACACCAAGAGAGTTGTAAACTTTTTTTTCACTTTATGCATCAGATAAACTTTTAGAGCACCTAAGGAAAAAAAGAACATTAATTTGTATGAATAATAGATATATGCCTTGGGAGCAATATCGAATATTAATGAATTGTGTTTATATTCAAGCAGCTCCTCTTAACTCTTTTAAAATTAAGGTGCTGTGAATATGGTTTGGCAATAAAAACTTTAATACTAAAACCATCTGAAAGCACAGAAAAAGAGTCTGTTTCTTTGTTCCTTTGCTCTGTCAAGTACCTCAGAGTTTTTCTTTAGTCATTCATATTTATTTAAATGTTATTGTTTTGTGAATTTTCTTTTTATAAATGTTGCCATAACAGCTTGATTTCTCTTCTGTGCTTAACTATTGATGGAATAAAAGGATGTCTTTTCATAGCTGTAGCTTTAAAAGCGACCATGAACATCAGAGCTTCTCTTCTGAAGCTGTATAATTTTAGGCAGTGCGGAAATGTCACTGTTAGAGTTAGATTCTAAATGTGGTAAAGTGAAATTTTTAGCTGTTTTCTAAGTTATTTAAAAAAGAAATGGCCTGATTGTTCCTTACAGAGGTGCAGTATTCAAATGGTGTTGGTAATGCGGCTGCTAGGAACCAGAACAAAGACGGCCTTACCCTGAGTGAACTCAGCTTGGCCCAAATGAATTTCCCAAAGACTTAGTTTGGAACTGTGGAGCTCAATATTAGCAAATTAAACCACAGAAGAGTTGCAAGTTCTTGGCAGCATCCGTCAAGAAGCATTCGGTGACTCCAGAAATAAACAGAGAAAGCTTCTATAGCAACAGAGTGCTTTTCCATTCTGCAGGAGGAAGTGTTCAGTTTCTGCAGATTTGGGAAGCTGAGGCAGGACAGTGATCTGTCTCTGTGGATGTAAAGTACATATAGCTAGAATTGCTCTTAAGGCAGCCATTTTGTAGCTTAGTCAAATAGCTTTTGATTCAGGAAACCGCATGTATCATGTCCAGTGCTCATAAAATAGTTTTAAAATACTTTTATTAATAAATAAATAAATAAATGCAGGGGAGCCTTTTTGCAAAGTAAACTGGGATGGCTGAAAAGAAGTGTTACTTAACCAAGTAACTGAATGGCACGATCAATTTGTAATCACAAATAAATATTAAAAGTTAGTCTATCAAAAATATTATTCAATTAGCTGATAATAGCTTTAATAGTAATTGCTTTTATGTTGGATATTTACTGCAGTTTACATCATATATGCAACTATTTAGGAGCTCAGGGAAAGTGACAGGCAGCAGTTAGCAGACTAATACTCGGCTGTGCGAGAACTACCGTGGTTTTCCCTTTATTGACAAAATATTGATCCATAACACTGTTAATGCTATGATTGTCTGTTAAATTTGGGTAGATGACTTTAACTCCTGTGTTCTCAAACAGCAAAGATATTACCTAAAAGGAGTGACCTGATTTCAGTTTAAGAAGGTTGAAGGTTAAAGGTTAGCTCAAAAGCATCATCTGCCTAGCTGCTTAACTTTTAACTGATCAATTTAATGAAAATCTGTTTTGCAGATGGTATTGTAATGTCTTTGGCAGGATTTAGGCAGCTTTAACATTAGACGTATGCTAGTAAAAATTATTTCTTTATTTGACCAGAACAACACCTTTTCTTTTATGTTTTAAGGTAAAAGGCATGTGGGATATGGTATTTTGGCAAAGGACCCAGAAGCAGAAAGTGTTGATGATCTTTCCATATGGGCTCGAAAACAGAATACCTTTATGTCTATTGCTAACGATGACTGAAGAAACAAACAAAGCTGTATTCATTTTTTTACCATAACGTTTTACTTTGAACCCATAAAAAAGCATTTCAGTCAGAATTGTCCTTGGAAAAAGGCTTGTCTTCTTTGCCTGGGGTGGAATGCAACAGCATTAACTTTTTTAACCTGGAAGAGCACGTCGATTGCCTCTTTCAGACCTTGTATTTGTAGATCAGTAGTATTCTTTTCCCTCCTCACAAACCAAGCAGTAATTGTGTTACTTAGCTGTAGATACTATAAATAAGAAGGCAAATTAGTCAATCCAAATGGTAAGTTTTATCTGATGGAGGT